GATAGATAGATAGATAGATAGATAGATAGATAGATAGATAGATAGATAGATAGATAGATAGATAGATAGATAGATGGCGTGTATGGGGATAGATAGATAAAGACAGACCACGTTAAAGCTGATGTTGTGCTTTGCATCCTTCTTACAAGGTGAATGGAAGGAGCCATTTACTCTCTGTAATTCAGTGGGAGGATGAACAAAGCCAGGTCTGTAACTCAGATTTTCGATTCCAAACGTTGCGAAATGAAGGGAACTAGCGAGATCCGCTGGCGTGAGAACCTCCGGGAGTTGAACAGGGAGAGGGTTTGGAATCTCTTTAAGTCAAATGGTCAAAAACTATCTTGAATTTGCATCCCAAGCAAGGGAAGAACCGTGTAAGGCAGAGCTCCAGCCCTGAGCAGGTGACTAACGGCTTCAGACAGGACATTGGGAGCCCGGCAGTGTCCAAGGGATCTCAGTGCCAATTTCCTTTTTTAACACGATTCAGAACGGGCATTTCCACCCAGAGCAGCTTCGCTTGTCGCAGCGCAGCCGTCCATTGCAGGGAAAAAGCTCAAGGGGTGAGATCCTGACCCCACTGAAGTCAATGGGAGATTTACAACTGACTCCAATGGGGCCAGGATTTGGAACCGCCGAGTCTTCCAGTCGCTATGTAAGACACCGTAACGTTGCCTGAATAAAGGACGTGTTGAGCCCAGACTGAGTGTTCTGTGCCGGGTGAATGTGCTTTGTCGATGGACTGTTTGGGGTTGGCCTTAGCGATGAGGATGGTGACAGACTGCAGGGTAGGATGTGCCTGGGGTGACGGCAGAATCACCTACCCAGTGTATTTTCTTCTGCTGCCGAATTGCAGCCACGAGTAGCCGTGTTTACTGTGCATGTCTCTTTAGTATCCTTGCAGGAATTCGCTGTGCCGGAGCACTTGTTGCACGTCAGGGGCTGACCTGGAGAAAGAAGAACAAGTGTTTCCTTCTTACTGGGGTGTGACAGTGTCACTCTGACAAGTCCCTTAGCCCCAGTCTTCCCCCTCTGCTCCAAACGAGCCGAGGGGTTAACAGACCCGATTTCCTCCCAGACACTCAGCAAAACCCGGGGGTCCCATTGGGGACAAGTGAAGGGGATGATGCTCTTCCCAAGCCCCACCCACAAAATAAGCTCCACCCACCCCAGATGTGGCTCCCGTTGTGCAGGTATTCACAGTACTGGAGAGTCGCTCGCTTCGCAGTGTGTATTGGCAGAATCTGTCACACCACCTGGGGCTCCTGGCAGCCCCCCTTGGCCCTCACAGACTCCTTGGGTGCCCTCCCACCTGCCGTATTGCAGGGATGCCAGGCTAGCCCGTCCACACCTCATGCCAGGGGCTCTGTGTGCCCCCCATTCCCCATCCCCGTACCAGGGTTCCCCCATTCACTTCCCCATGCCAGGGCCACTGTGTGCCTTCCATTTCCCCCCACGCCCTCCATCATCCTTCTTTCTGTCTGGGAGATCAGCTGCTCAGGGTGTAACATGTTGCGCTCCATGGGGACGCTGGGCAGCGCTGGGCTGGGCGGGGTTGATGGGCTGAAAGATGTCAATGGTCCCATCAACCGGTTCTTTGATCTACACACAGTTACAGATGGGGTTGAAGGTCTGGCTGGGCTGGCCAGATGCCTCCCTAAGCTCTGTGTGTCCCTGATTTCCCTCTTCCTGTTTTCTGACTTCCCCCCAAATCAATAGAGTTCTGCCCTCTGATGCCTGAAACTTTGGGAATTGATTGGATGCAGCATTGAGACGTTATTGTGTTGCACAGAGGCAGAGAATTGCCATTGAGGTGAGTGCAGCCAGGCTCTCTGGGCTGCCAGCCGGCCAGTGGAGGGGTCTGACAGAAAGGTTTGGGGTGCAGAAGCCAGCTGTCTTTAGCCCTTAGCCACGTGGGGATTGATCCCCGTTAGGAAGTCTCTCCACTGGACTAGTCCCCCAGCTTTACAGCCCAATTACACAGCCCTGAGCTTAAGTTAAAGCCAACTTTGCACACATCCCTCTGGATCAGCCCAGCCGTTCGCAGTCTGTGGGGAATGGGAAGGATGGAAATTGCCAGGCAAAAAACTGTGTTAAGCAGAACAAAAGGACGTTCATTGTTCCATGTTCCCCAAATTACCATTGATACAAGTTCAAGTGGCATTAACCCCAGCACATGGACACGCACAAACCTCTTGAGGGCATGTAAGTGAAGAATCTCTGTCCTTCAGTCCTTATGTACAGCGCCCTGCACACAAGCTGTGTAAGTGCAGCAGCTTCTTTTAGACAGTCTAAGATTTTCAGGCTCTGATGCTGATCTAGTCTGAGCTCCTGCATAGCCCAACCCAGAGAACCTCACCCAGCACTTCCTCCATGCAGCCCATATCTGATGGCTGAGCTAGAGCCAGTCTTTTAGAAGGACCTGCAAGGGATGGAGAATCCACCCCCCTCCTCTTGAGAAGCTGCTGCCAGGGTTAATTCTACCTTGGATTGGCCTAAATTCAACTCCTAGCCATTGGATCTCATTCTGCCTCTGTTTGCTCGGTTGGAGAGCCCTCTGCTACCGGAAATTGTCGGCCTTATTCCAGGTTACACTCAGGCCCTTAGCAGTGTCATTTACTCCTATATTTAGTCCCCTTTGTGCTGCCAAAGCAGTGCTGAGGGGCATTCGTGGAAATGAGAATTCAGGGCAGTATCCGGTAATGGTGCCCCTCAGGCCTGGTCCACACTAACCAGGTTGTTATAGCTATGGAGCTTGGGGTGGTGGGGCATGGGGGAGGGAGATCCACACCCTGAGCACCGCAGCTCGGTCGATCTAACCCCTGGAGTAGATGCAGGTCGATGGGTGAATGCTTCCCTCGGCCTGGCTACCGGCTCAGGGAGGGGAGTTCCCACAGGGACGGAAAAACCCCGTCCATTGGGACAGGCGGCGTCTTCACCACGGGGCTCTGCCGGCCGAGCTACAGCGCTGTGGTTAAACTGCTTCAATAGCCGTAGTATAGACAAGTCCCTGTACCCCACACAGAGCTCATCCCCCTCCCTGCACATGCTGGATGTTCCCCTGACTGGGGATCTGGGGGGTATAAAGGATCCAAGCCCAGGGGGGTTACATGGCCACAGCAGCGGATGACTCACCTTGTGCACTCGTTGTAGCTAGGAGAGCAGGGAAAAGGCAGAGAATGAAGGAAACCATCATGGTGCTGGGAGGCGCACGGGGCTGGGCTCGGAGCTGAACGGAGCCTCTCACGGCTGACACAGCGAGCACTGCCAGGGGGGAGGAGGAGAGAGTCAAGACCGAAATGAGGAAGGAAAGGGAATTAGACCCTAGATTCACAGAGGAAAGCACCAGGAAACAGAGCTGCACAAATAACTGATTTTGTGGTTCGCTGACAGTTTCAAAAGATCAGGAAAAAATTCATTTTTGGTTGATCCAAAATTGTCGTCCAACTGAAAGGCCGAACGAAAAATGGTTTTGGTTCATTTTCAAACATTTAGAAACATTTTTAAATTGGTTTAAAAATAAAAATTGCCCTCAACACTGAAATGAGTTGAAAAAAATCAAAATGTTTAATTCTGGAAGTATCCAGACAGAACATTTCCATTTCTCAGGATTTTTTTTCTAGAATTTTTTCCCGCTGAAGCAATGCAGCGAAATTGACACAAATTTGTGAAAAGTTTCAGTCACCCCAAACCTGCATTTTTCAGTGGAGAAAAGTTTTGGTTAGAGAATTTCTCCCAGCTCCCCATGCCCCAGACGTGCCCAGCAGTAACAGTGCGGGGGCTCTGGGACATCCGGAGACGGGCGCTCCGTAGGGCAATCCTTGTAATAGTCATTGCTCCGGACGGAATCAGGGTGACAAGCAAAGCAGAGACGTCAAATGGAGCCAGTGACAGTCACGGGGACACGACCTGCCCCTGCCTCACGTCTTCTTACACCAGGGCCCCAGCAAGCCAATGGGTCCACTGACTTCAACAGTCACACTGGTGTAAAACGGCTGGGGATCCGGCCCCATTGACTCAAATGGAGCCACGGCCCATTGACACCAACTGGGCATCTGACCCTATTGACTCCAATGGAGCTAAGACTGATTGACACCAGCTGGGAATCGGGCCCAGTTTACACTCCTTCGTCTGTATTGGCTCCAGGTCTGCACCGTCCCTTCTGACATGGGGCGACCGGCGCTGCCTGTGGGGCGCCAGGGTCAGAGCGTCCTGCTGGTCTGCAGAGGGGCACTACAGTGTTTTCCACATTATCTCCACCCCCTTGGGCAGCCCAACGGCTTCTTCGCTTCTCTCTTCTGCAGCTGCACAGGGAGCTGAGGTGTCCATTGATCTTCCTACGGGGACGCTCTGGTCCCTTCCCTGGATCAGCCCGGTTCAGTTAGAACCTGTCAGGTCTAGGCGTGCTACAAACCCCTCTCCAGTCCTTCCAATCGCGTTACTTTGCATTGATCAAGACTCAACTTCATCTACCATCACGTTGCCCATTGACCCAGCTCCATTCGATCTCGCTGAAGTTCCCGATTAACCTCAGTAAGTTGCCTCCTCTGCAGATTTCACCACCTCCTCGCTCACCCCCCTTGCAGATCCTTTGAGTAACTTGAACGCTGGGTCTAGGATAGAGCTTGGAGGCCTCCGCTTTTAAGCTTTTGCCATCACACAAAATTCCCATGAATTCCCGCTCTGTTTTCTAGAGACACAAGGTGGGGGAAGAGACGAGCTTCCGAGTGACACAGAGCTCTTCTGCGGGTCAGCGGAGCTCGAGAGCTTGTGTCTCTCCCCAGCAGAAGCTGGTCCAATAAAAGCTTTTCCCTCACCTACCTTGTCTCTCTAATATCCTGGGACCCACACGGCTACAACAACGCTGCAAACTCCTGTTCTCTGTCCATTGTCCTGTTTCTGCTCCATGACACTCCCTTGCCTCCTGCCCCAGGACTGCTTCGATTCCTTCCTGCCCTACGGTGAGGGAGTTTGCTGAAGGCTTTTTGACAGTCCAAATCAATTATGACAACTGGTTCTTCTCTGTTCCCTAAACCTGGAACGTTCAAAGCAGCTGAAGAGAATTCGAGGCCCGACTCCCAGTGGTTTCAGCTGACACTGGTCCCCTCGCTGCCGGTTTTGCCTTTGAAAATCTCCCTATTTGGTTCACACACCATTCCATGAGTGGGGCTTCTTTTCCTTTGCACAAACTGAGCCTCTTATCCCTGCTCTGTCATCATCATGGGGTTTTACAATGGGAACTTGCATCTGAAATATATCTCCATCCATTACATGCTTTCAGCAGATCATCAATGATTACAAGCAATAATTTAACACAGCATTAAAAACTCTTACCTTCAGCCGCACAACGGTTCCGTTCACCTCCGAGTTCTCTGTAGTATCGAAGAGATGCACTAACCTGTCTAGCACGGCTCCTTCCTCTCTATATAGTCGAAGGACACAATCTGATTAATCTAGAAACTGGGAGTAACAGTGAATGATTTACTGAAATGTAATAAATGGCACGACCCTCATACCTGGGCACTCCCTCTTCAAATACAATTCAGATCGACCCTTTCTCAATCCATCAGCTATTGTTTTATTGAACCTGTCCCATACTGTTTGTGCAACAGAGATAAGAGGCGATACTCAGCTCAGTCACAGGGGTAGAGGTGCAACGTTTGCATATCAGAGGCGTTTATCCAGATCCTGAGGTGCTGTAAATGATAGAGGAACCGGTAAATTCACAGCAGCTGGGGATCCGTCTCCATTGATTCCATTGGAGCAAGGGCCAATTGACACCAAATGGGGGTCGGGTGAGACTGTCAGAACGAAACTAAGGTTGGCCATGGAGTTGGCTCCATTACGACAGCTCCCCTCCCATTCCCAGAACAGGTTGTTAAAATTCCTTCTCGTTAACATGTGTTAATATTCACTGGGGACAGATTTTCTTATCTGCCCCATTCCAGGGGGTTGCGTCAAACTGGGTCTCAAGAGCACAACGTCGCATCTGACTGGAGGAATTTAGTTACAGAATAACTGAGCGGAGAAGAGCATTTCGACCTTGGTTGCATTCCAGGCCAGCTTTGCTCCCGGGGGTTGTCGAGATGGGTAGGGGGCTTCCAGCCGGAATCCAGGTGTTAGGATCGCCAGGAGTCTAGCGAGAGAGAGTGGTTGGAGACTGACTGATGAACAGTGTGATGGAAAAGCTGGGGATTGGTTATAAACACATATGAACTCCCAGCTCAGATTCAGCCAGGCGGCGCTGGACTGGTAGTGGCACCTGGCCGAATCTGCAGCCTTGTTCTCTAGAATCTCGTCTGTCATTGAACGCACAAGAGTAAGGCTGGGTCGACACCAGAAACGTTTGCTGGCACAGCTCTGCGGGTCAGGGCGCGTGATCTCCTGGGACATCGCTGTGCTGGCTAAAGCCCATAGGGGCAGTTATACCAGCCAAAAACCCCTTTTACCCCTATTCTGCCTCCTACTGACGCTGTCCCACACTGTCTAACTCAAACATTCATTGGAGCAAAAGCTAGAGTCTCCCAACCTCCAGGTCCAGTCCTTCTCTCACTTGTGAGAGAATCTCACGTAGGAGCAGGGAGGGGATTTTCCCTCTGGCTCTGGCCCTGGGGCGACACTGCTGGGATCCAATGTCCAGTGCTGGGGCCCACGGTTCAAGGGGGAGGTTGGTCGATTGCGGAAGAGCCACGAGAATGAGGAAAGAATTAGAAAACCTGTGTCATAGCGACAGACTCCAGCAGCTCGATCAACTGAGCTGAACACAGAGAAGGTGAACGAATACTTACTAACGGGCTCTTCGACCCAGCAGAGGAAGGTCTGACGTGATCCCATGGCTGGAAGCTGAAACGGGACAAACTCAGCCTGGAAATAAGATGTACATGTTTAACAGGGAGGGGAATTAACTGTTGGAACAGTTTCCGATGGGTCCTGCTGGGTTCTCCGTCAGTGGCCATTTTCAAGGCAGGCCTGGGTGCTTTTGCTGAGAGATCTGCTCTGGGAATCCTGTGGGGGACGTTCCCTGGCCTGTGACACAGGAGGTCGGACGCGATGGCCCCAGTGGGTCCCGTCTGGCCTGGGAATCTGCGACTATTTAAATAGTTTATCCCAAGTGGAACAGCTGGAAAAGGAGAGATTGAGCGAGACCCACCCCTCCCCAGAATGACCTACAGCCTGGGGGTCAGGCTGTGCCGCTCGAAGTGATGGCCAGGCAGAGGAAAGCATCATACCAGTGTCTCCCACAGCCAGGACGAGCGCTCTAACCACTAGGCTGCTGGACAACATGAGGCTTCCTCCTCCGGCCATATTGGGGGGGCGGTCGGCGTGCTCTGAGACAGCTGCTGGACTAGACCACTCGGGCTGCTGCTCTCCCCTTAGCTCTGCCCTGCCTCAGCCAGCCCCAGCTCACATGGAGGACGGGCCCTGGGCTCCTGACTCCCGCATTGGCCTGTTGCCTTGTCAATCAGGCCGACCTGGAGCACTGGCCTCTCTCCATTGGCCCTGGGGCCTGTCAGTCTCAGGATAATGACTCCTCTTCAGCCCTTCCCTTTTCTTTGGGTATTGGGAGAGGGCCGACCAACCCCTCCCCCCTCACATTTCAGTGAGGGCGTAGCCCATAGGATTATTTTGCTAGTTATTATATCCTACTAATCCAGCCAGCCGTATCGATTGATATGTTTCTTTTTCTGAAATTAATCCATGTTATTCTTATATTTTATGAATATTAATTCCTTGGAATTTAGGATGTGTTGAGGCCTGTGTTTCCTAATAAGAAGTTTTGCTGAAATGCTGAAATGCAAGAATCCGACCGGCCTGTAAGATCTGTTATATAGCAAACAGTAGAATTAGTTATAAATATGTCATCATAAAAGCTGGCAACCTTTGGCACAGATAAGAATGGTCCTTGAACATTGGGGAACCAAAGGGAGGAACTACCCACATCACATCACAGGTTTATCCGGCATCTAAACCGGTTGGTAACTGCAGGGTACACCACAACCTGGAGGTCACCAAGAGAGCCTAGGTTGGCAGTTTTTGGAGTGAGATAATCCTTATTAATATATAGAAAGTAAGTGTCATAATCCACTAACCTATAGGAGAAGGGTCCCCATAAATTCCGTAGGGTCCGGAAATAAGACTTGGGTATAGGAGGCTGGGCTTGAATTACATAGGTCAGGAGCCTACAAAATACCTTGTAAGAGAGCTCTCAGCAACTGCTTTCTTTAGCTCTTAGGGTCTGCTAGGTTCTATATTCTGAGCTCTTAAACTCTTAATCTCTTTTAAATTCTTGCTTTTCTAACTTCGGTTTCTCGGAGTGCTTTTCATCTATCTATTCTATCTTCTATCACGCTATCAGCTCAGCTTGTGCAGTGTAGTATAACTACTCAAGATTGCTAACCATCGGGGAAGCCAGCACCATCTCGTAATCGGGCCTGCCAGGAGTGAGGCTGGTCCTCCACCTCCTATTACCGGGCTCTCGAGGAAGCATGTGAGTATGTTAGGTTAAGGTACTTATAATAGGAATGTTACCACCAGGAGTTTTGGAATTCTTTTACTGTTTTGCAGTTGTAAGTTTCATTGCATTCCTTATTTTTATGTTAATGGCAATAAAGATTTTATCAATTTGGTATTGTCCTCAGTGTACGTGTTCTTGCCGAGCACCCCGAGAATCCTCTCCCGATCTAGAACTCTCTGCGTTCTTGAACTCTGTAGTCTGAATTGGATAAGAACCTATCAATCTTCTGGTCGGATGTGATCAGTGGTGAGCCATAACAACTAACCCATCAAATTCAGGTCAACAAGGAGCCAACAATGAGGGTTACCAGACGTCCCGATATTAGGGGCTTTGTCTTATATACACAACTATCCCCTTCCCCCCCGCAAAAAAATGTCTGATATTTCTCTCTTGCTCTCTGGTCGCCCTACCAATGTCCCTTGACATTAGGCACATAGCCCCAGGGGCCTGGAGACACGCTGCAAATTCTTGCCATGAAATCTCGCGCTAACAAGTGCCAGGGTCAGAGCTCCCACCCCTGCCCTAGGGAACTGTTGGATGGATAATTCCCCTCTCTGATAAACATTTGGATTGTGCCCACTTTGGCCCAGAACAGCCCCAGCCGTCTGTCATGCCCACCCCAAAGTTGTGTGGGGTGCTCCTCACTCCAGCACTGTGCCCCACCTTGGTCAGTGATTAACATCAGGACAAACAGCTGCCTACTTGAACCCAGGAGTCATGAATCCCAGCCCCTCCCTGCCCTGCGCTCTAATCACTAGACCCCCCCTCCCATCTCCGAGCTGGGGATGGAACCCAGGAGTCCTGGCTCCCAGGAGATAGGGACGGGGTGGATTCTCCATTCTTTAATCAAGACACCTCTTTCTAAAGGATGTGGCTCATTTGGTAGACTCTACCAAATGAAATCAGCTTCAAGAACCTACTCCCCCTGCCTGGCTTCACCTTTGTGACATCTCATTGACGTTCACCTGCCTCAACTGGCTCGCCTCAGTGAGGCCTCAGAAATCCAGAGAGGGTTGGCTAGCGAAGGGTTAAATCCGAGCGGGTCTCTCGGGAAAGGAGTGGCACCTGGTTTCCTGTCATTCCAGCCCTCTTCCTGAGAAATTCTTATCTGCTGTGTTATCGGAAATCATTATCAGAAAGTGATTCCACTTTCTATATGATACAGGGGCCTGCTGCGTCTATATGTAGCTCAGGCCGGGAGAAGAAAGAAAGAAATTCCATCTACGTTCTGCGAAGTGAAACACGGAGGGCTGAAGGTAAGAGAGTCCTCTGCATAGAATTGAAGGCCAAGGAACCGTCCGGTCTGGTTTCCTGCACAGCCCAGGCTGGCAAATGTCCCCCAGTGAGTTCCCCGTGCAGCCCATGACATCTGGCACGGAAAGAGACGCCCAGATGTGACTGGCCGAGTCGTTTACGATCCAGCTTGGTCCATGCTGAGAACTTAGGTTGTCAGAACAGTGATGCTCAGCTCAGCGCCTGGCCCCAGACGTCGCCCCAGCGAGGTCGATGGAGAAATGCATCTGGGGGCGTAGCTACCATCGCTTGCAGAAGTGGAGCCCTGACACCGACGGAACCCCCCTGCCATTGCCGCAGGCGGTGTCTGCACTGCAGGGCAGAGCCGGTGTCACTAGGGTGCCATGGCTAGGCCAATGTCATCTCCGTGGTGTAGACACGGGCTCAGCTCGACGGCTTTACCCCGTCTGTACGGCCTCCAATGACATGCAAACGTTCAGGGGATGTTCGAGGTGCCAGTGACTGGCTTCCAACTGACAGAAGGGGATTGGAAAACTGGGAAAGGGGAAGATGGGGGTACACACAGAGCCCCCCACATCTGGTGAGCAGACCCCCGGCTTTGAGCACCTCTGCAGTGGTCTGCAGCTCAAAGAGCTGGTTGAC